GTGTGTGTGTGTGTGTGTGTGTGTGTGTGTGTCTCCCCATAGTACTGGTCACTGTGATATTTATTTATTTTTAAAAGTTTTCTGTCTCTCCTAACTAAAAGATATTTTTGGTCACTGCTCTACCCCAGTGCCTACAGCAGCCTCTGGCAAATAGTGGGTGCTTGATAAATATTTATCAAATCTGTGATCGAAAAACAAATTCAGTCCACAGTGATGACCCCCGAGGGGCAAGATGCAGAGACTCCCAGGTGAGAGAAGGAGGCCCCAAGGGGAAGGCGAGGCATCATGGAAGGAGCAGCTGTGCCCAGGGCTCAGGTGGCCACACAAGGGCTTTGGGTCTTCTGAAGGGTCACTGGGGTCTGTGGGACTCAGAGGTGCACCCTCAGCTCTGGATTTCAGGAAGGACCCTGGTGTGGCCCTGAGGAGGGACACTGGAAGGCGGCAGGAGGTCTGCATGTCCGGGCATCCATGGGCCATTGGGCTGCAAATTTTGGCCCAAACACAGAGAGGCCTCCTGTCATGAGCCAGTGTCCAGCTGCTCTCGGAGGCTGTGGCAGTCCTGGCCCCAGGGACCAGATAAGACACTTTATGCCTCTGGCCTCCGTTTCCCCAAGCCCCTCCAGCTCCGTGATCCCTCCTGGCTAGGGGCCGGGAGCCTGAGAAGGGCAGAGCTCAGCTACCATGTGAGGAAGTGTCCCTCCTGCCCGAGGGTCTTTGCCCCTGTCAGACTCCCTGCCAGGAACACCCTTACCCGACTCCTCCTCATCTCAGTCCAAGCATCTCCCTCTCAGGAAGGGCTCCCCCAAGTCCTGTTGAGGCCAAATCCATCCACTGGAGGCTCTCACAGCTCTGAGGGCCTCTCAGTGTGTGGCTTTTTAAAAATAACTTAAAATATCCACTTCTCCCCAAGGGCCAAGGGAGTAGGGAGGCGGGCACAAGTGTTCCCCAACACTCCTCTTTTGCAGGGGAAGAGTGGACAGCCCCCCCTTTAGGGCATCATGAAATGTGGGAGTAGCTGTTCCCCATCCTCCTTCCTCACTGCTCACAGTTCAGCCTCATGCAAAAGCATTTACTGAGCATCTACTATGTGACAGTCCTAAGTGCTGGGGATCAGCAGTGAGCTGCTCTTCTCGAAGGAAAACAGATAGTAAATGAGACAAATAATAAAACAAATTGAGAGTCAGGTGGGGACCAGGGAGGTGGAAAATCAAGACAGGGAAGGAGGAGGGTTGGGGAGGGGCTATAATTGTAAAAGGAGAGTGGTCAGGACCCCCTACCCTAGGGATGACATTTGAGAAAGATGTGAAAGGAGGGGAGGC